AGTTGCGTCACCTGCTCTTTATAAGGACTGTTCTCCAAATAAAAGGACCTACATACCCATGTCCAACCACTGAAACTAAGCATTATTTATGACTCCCTTACACTCGGCTGTTAAAAGACTAACACGAAGACGCCGGCGATTGTAAATTCAAACCATGCATGCATTAATGTCTATTCCTGTACCACACTAATTCTTCTCAGCCAAAATCATACGTTTAGATGAAAGACATAATTTAGATACGACTCTCACACACACTAACCACAAAGTTCGTCTGTAAATGTAATCGTATACAAAGCTCGCTCTGACGTTAAGAACTAATTTTTTCTTTCTTAACTGGAGCCATAATTTTTTTCTGCTCGTCTAAGACATATAAATATTATTTACATTTAATTCTTACTTGTAACTCTGTATATTCTTCGCTGGACCGTCCTACTAAATAAACATTTCTTTAATTACGTACAACCATTGAGGTCAGAACAAAATAAAGGGGAAAAAAAAGGTGTTCAGCTAAACTTAAAGCACGTTTTAAATCTCTTTTTGAAAAAAAATCTTTGTTTGTTTGTTGATGCTAAGGGTAAAGTTGCACAATGGGCTATCTGCAGTGTGCTCACCGCTAGGATCAGACTACTAATTTCAGCTCTTTAGCTTACTGATGAGCCACCGAGTGTACTTTGAATAAAACGTATTCCAATATATAACAAAGTAATGTTTTATAAGCTTTAGATCTATATGCCAAAACTAATTTGCATATATATATATATACATGACGGTAGAACAAAATGTTTTGTTTGCTTCCTTCGGATATTTATGCAAGTCTACAAAAGGGCCATCTAAACAAATCCTCTCTAATTTTGAACTGGTATGCTAAAGGAAAGGCAGATAGCCAACGGCACCCATCGCTAGTTCCTGGGCTACTCTAATTGAATAGTGGTATTTGACGGTCACTCTTATAACTCATTTAATGAAAGTAACAATTACGATAGGCATACATACCAGTTTTTCGAGAGAAAGTGACAAATTTTTACTATTATTTGAACTTTTTTTACGTTTCAGATGATTGAACGATCTTTACACATGTGCTACTTTTAAAGCTGAGTTTTAATATAATTTATTGACATTGTTCCTTTGTCTAATTATTACACATTCTCATACAGAATATATTGTAATATAATACGCCTTGTATCATTAAGACTGTTGAATTAGCTTTTAATGTTAGAATTAATTGTCGTAGTTAGACTTACTATGCAAAGTGAGTGATTCCTTAACTTTTTGTAGCTTTAAGTATTAATTAACAAGTGCAATAACTAGTGACAATTGGTTGCTGTATTACTTGTTTATTACATTATATGTGCAAACTTCAGAACAGTGCCCAATCTTCTTACTTTTTTAATTATTAATAAAATATTTTGACTGATTCAACAATAATATTCCATAATCCCCCCCAAGTGGAAGAATTACGATATCTCCCTCCCCGTTATGCGTGAAAATTAAAATATTCGTTTCACTTGTAAACAAAATAACTTTTGTATTTTTGTATTTTCTTGATGCTTTAATACATCTACACCAAGCTTTCTGAAGTTTTAGGTTATCTACACAGAAAATAATCATAGAATATTTTGTACAAAGTTAAATTAGCCCGAAATAATTGTGTATTTGAATTAGTTAAGCTGCAGTAAATTTACTGAGAAAACAGAAGCATCTAAACTGAAAAGTGGTTTGAACTTTATCTGTTCACCAGTTTTACTGCCGTACTTAAGTCAACTATTAGCTTTAAATCGAAATCCCTAAAACCAAACGTTATACTATATACATGGGCGTCCGCAGACATTTTTCTAGGGGGGGAGGGAAAAGTAGTGTGAAACTGTGAATTGAATAAAAAAAAAAATCATATACATATGCTGAATGAATAAAGAATTATTTTTAAGCTATGATAAAGCTAATTTACTCCATTTATTAAGCTTAATTCGAATCTAAATGAAGCATTTTTGTTTAATTTTGTAATTGTTAATAATTTTTTATTGTGACTTTATTCTACGTAAAACGTATGTATTACTTCATAAAAAAGTTGCGAAAAGAATAATGAAAGACAAAATTCCCATAAAATAACGTAATTCGTTAAAAACTTTGCTCTTGTTATTTTCTTCTACTGAAAAGACCAAATGAAAGTATAATTTCATTATAAAAAACTACCAAGTTTGACTACCAATATTTAAAAATCTAATCTGTACTTGCAAAGCCGTAAATTTCAAGTGAGTCTTTAACTCATCGTAAGATAGCTTAGTACGAATGATGAATGACTTGCTCATGACGACTGTGGTGGAAATAAAAGACTAGGATACCCCAGACAAAACATACTGTACTTCACTACCACCCCGTGCTTAAAATCTCACTCCAAGCTGCACTTTCTAGTAGTCCTATCTCAATTGGCAATACTGTGGTTTGGGCCCTAACCTACTATTAGAAGGTAGAGGATGAGGTTCGCATGCCATTGATTTACAACTTTCCTGTTTAAAAGGTAAGTCACGAAAGAAACAACAATAAACAAGTCGGATTTCTTCCCAAATCCACTTACACATAAATCAGTTCACATTTCAGTTTCAGGTTAAAATAAATTAAAAGTTTGCCTATCTTCAGCCGAAACCTCTTATTATCGTTAGAACCAATCACAAAAATGTATCATCTACTACTGTTTTACTAGCTTAACTTTCTATATCCAAATTAACTTTACAATTAGATCTTACATTATTTGTGTGTAAAAATTGAATAACTTACAATTATATTTACATAAATCTCTATTTCTCCATATATAACTATAAGAATAAAAGCCACGTCAAATCAACTGTAAAAAGTATCTAAATCTGTATGTTTGTTTCAGCGTAAAGCTTCACAATGTGCGATTTCCGAGCTGTCCACCGCTCGGAATCAAACCCTACATTTTAGCCTTTAAGTCCTAAAAAACTTATCGTTGATCCACAGACGGACTGTAGAAAGTACAGACAACGTTCATATAAGTCTCATGTATTTTATTTTTTCGTAAAAAATCCAATGTCTTATTTTAAATCAGAAATGTCGTTTGTGTGAATTTACTTTTTTGATAGGAATATTGATTCCTGGTCTTATAGTTTGTTTTCGTCGTATCACGTTGTTTACATAACTTTCTATGTACTTATTTCAGTACTATTATTTAATAAAAACGCAAATATAATTGTTTATTTATTTGAGGGTTTTTTTTCGGTAACTTGAATTTCAAGATGCTGGACACACATATACTAATTACAAAGTAATGTGCTTCAGTCTGAACAGTTTCGTCCACAAATTATATCATTGACGCAATATTCTATGCACACAGTGAGAGACGACGTCATTACATCCATGTATTAGCTTTATTACATAGAATAAGAAGTCATACAATGTTTCTTTAATAGTTATTTGTGATTGTCACTACTGAAGAGTCAAAATTACCGGATGGACATGATAAAATACTTAAGTATATATATATTACACAGACTCAGAGTTATACCTATAGTCAGATAAATATGCATATAACTAAGCAGTTTGGTCTTATAATTTACTGGCTAGACTGATTTATGAATTTCATTTTAAAACACTGCAGAAGTTTCAAGTTATCGTATCTAAAAACTGTACAAGAGATAACAAACCAAATTCAGCTTAGTCTTAGAACTTTGTCCTCCAGGAATTACTACAAGTTTCTACACTTTTTAAGTTTCTTATTTCACATCTTTAAAGATTAGAGCCGTACCTCATGACTGTGAAAGAAGGTTTAAGAAAATGCTCTTACTAACCCGAAAAACGTCAGCAAGTCAACAAAATATAAGTATAAAACGTGTTGTGAAACAATAAGAAGTAACCCAATTTTAAGTATTTGTGTCAAACGTAACACAATTTCTAATCTCACTACCATTTATAAAAATAAAAAATGCATGTAAGTGTAAGATAAACATACACTTGAGAGTATATGTAACTTATCCGAAAGGAAAATGTGTTTAATATTCTGAATACAAGTATTAGCAATATTACCTATGTAGATGCTACACCATAAGTAATAACAACATTCATATAAAAATGATATAAAAAAAGATCATAAGGTTTTTGGTAGACAGAGTGTAATCTTACCATCACTTCTTGCTTAATGAATTATCTCAAAATTTAAAGCCTAACTATATTCAGAAATAAACGTGTTGAGTCATTCTGTCTTTCACAATCATTACGACTGTTGAATATACAGCGCAAAACTTGTTCTTATAGCTCAGATATTTCAGTATTAAATGACTAGATATCAATCTTTATCGTCTTAAGTCAATTCATTTTGCTGGGTGTAATTATTTATACATCTGATTGAAGAGAAGAAATGTTCTCTTAAGTGCAACATTTTAATGAACCATTAAGCACATTTATCAAGTTCACTTTAATCTCAGCAATAGTAACAGAAATAATAACAGCAAATAAAATGTAAATATCAATACAGAGCAGGTATGTTTGAACAATCACTTGAAATTATTAAGGCATTCGTGATATCTGTATAACTGATATTTGTATAAACTCAACGTTTTTAGTATTTATTACTTTTAGTGACTTCACTTAATAATAATTACATGTGCATATTAATAGAAGAATTTCGCAAGGAAAATAAAATAAAAAAAACAACATAAATAAGTTATAAATAGATAGTTACGCTTTACATTATACTTTACCTGTATTATCATTAGACATATTGAAGGTATTTTTCAGAAAAAAATATTGAAGTATTGAAAAAAGAAAATTAAAACAAATTACAAGGTTTATTTGAAACCCATACAAAAATATACTAAGTTTCTTGATTGCAGATAAATATAGTTTCAATATGTTCTCAAACTAACGAACTCTAAAGATTTCGTGACAATTTAAATTTTCTATGAATGTGCGGATAATTCTTATTATGGTTAGATAAAGTTCCTTGGAAAAACATTATCTAAAATATCGACATAACTAAGTAACCCTACCTTTGTTTTTGATGTCCTGGGAGAAGCAGCACTCACATCGACGGCGTATACTTCAAGTTCGTAAACGTGAACTTCATTTTCGCGGTCTACAATTGTTGCTGTAGTTATTACCCCATTTTGCTTATTGATAGCGAATACACGTTGCTGCGGATAAACACCGGAGTAAATCCTGATCAAGTAATACTCTATTTTGCCTCCTAATTGACCACTAGGGTATTGAGCACGTACAGATAACACTGTTGTTCCTATTGGCTCATTTTCGAAAATGGAACCTGAATATTCAGAAGCAGAGAATACTAAACCTTGTGGTCGCTTCATCGTTCCAATAACAGTTAATTTGTTTCTAGAGGATTTTCTACTGGATAAGACAGCTTCGTCTGTGGCTTGCACGATCAAAGAATAGATCACTTTAGGCTTTTCTATTTGCCTCGATAGATAAAGCTCTCCTGTGTTTCGGTCTAGAAAGAAAATACTTTTTTCTCCTTCTATCAGCTCGTACGAGATTACACCATTAGTGTTAGCGTCTTTGTCAACAGCAGATAGAGTCATAACCTTATAGCCACGATCTGAATTTTCAGGCAAGACACCTGCATCCATCGACACAAAAGTGGGTGCGTTGTCGTTGATATCTTCTACAATAATTGTCACATTTTTCTCAGTAAATAGTCGACTAGATGGAAGAAGAGCCTGATCAGTAGCAGATACAGTTAGCCTAAATGTGTCACTGAATTCGCGATCTATCTCTTGGATGGTGTAAATAACTCCTGTGTTATGATCAATAGCAAAATGATTACCAGGAGGATCTTGGTGAGTCAAATTGTATAAAACTTTCCCGTTTAATCCAGAGTCTCTGTCTTCTGCTATAACAGTTACCACTGGGGTGTCTATTGGTATACCTTCTTCGATTTGGCGAACAATTGCTACATTGGAGAAATATGGAGGGTTATCGTTTACGTCTATTATATTAATTTGAAACTGTAGGGTTGATATTAAGCGTGGAGCTCCTCCATCTATCGCACTAATATTTAAGTAATAAATACTTTTTTCTTCGAAATCCAGTTGACGGTCCAAATATAAAATGCCTGAAGTACTATCAATTTGAAAGGCTTCTTTAATGTTTCCAGCTACTATAGAAAATGATACTTCACCATTAAACCCTTGGTCAGCATCAGTAGCAGAAAAATGGAAAATTTTAGATCCAATTGGTGTTATTTCGGATATTTCAGCCAGTGATTGTTGTATAGTAAAAATAGGGGAGTTATCATTTTCATCCAGCACGTCAATAGTGACAATGACTGTTGAATTATGTGTGAATTCCTTTCCAGTGTCACTGGCCAGTACTTTTAGATTGTACCTAGACTTCTTTTCTCTATCAAGTGTTCGAGAAAGTGTGATTTGCCCAGTATTTTCATTAATTTGGAAGTAACTGCCTTCATTTCCAGATGCGAGAAAGTACACCACGTTTCCACTGACTCCTTCGTCTGCATCTATAGCACTTACACGAACAACCTGGGTTTGTAATGGTGCTCCTTCTGAAATGGCTGCTTTGTAAGGCATGCGAAGAAATTGCGGCGCATTGTCATTGACATCAGTTATATATACAATTACCTTGGCCTCATCTCTCAGCCTTATTAGCCCACCATCCACAACTAAAACTTCTATTACTATGTAATCATGACCAGTGATTTCGATCTGTTTCTCTCGATCAAATTTTTTTAATGTTCTGATAATACCACTTTTAGGATCAACTACAAAGTCGTTTTGATTTGTACTGATTGAAAATGTTAATTCAGCGTTTCTATCCTTATCATTATCATCTGCAGAGAGCTTTCCGACATAAGAGTGCAGTGGCTCATTTTCAGAAATATAAAACGTCAAACTGTTGTTATCAAATTTAGGAATATTATCATTTACGTCAATTACATGGACGACAACAGAGACTTCTGAATTTCTAGACTTTGTTCCATTATCTTTTGCTTCAATAATGAGAGAATAATAATCTCTTTCTTCGCGGTCTAATGTCGATTTAACATATAGAAAACCATCAGGAAATATGCCAAATTTATTCTTATCATTCCCTTCCTTAATTTCATATAGAACGTGACCGTTTTCACCCGAATCTTCATCTGAAGCGGTAATACTAAAAAACCTGTCATTAATAGGTATTGATTCCAACACAGAAGTTTCATAAGATATACGTTCAAAGACTGGAGTGTGATCATTCACATCTTCAACGGCAACAACAACATGTTGCCTAGAAGTAAGAGGTGGAACGCCTCTATCTGTGGCTACTACTTCTATATCATAATTACTATTTGTCTTAAGCCTCATAGGTTTATTCAGGTAGATCATACCACTTTCTGTATTTATGGTGAAAATATCATTTGGATTAATGGAAAGAGAATAGCGAATTTTACCGTTTATTCCAACATCCAAATCTTCAGCTTTTGCAAGATACACTTCATGACCTACTGGCCAATTTTCTAATACTTTCACAGATGTAATGGACGACGCAAACTTCGGAATGTAATCATTCTTGTCATTCACTTGAATTTTGACATCAACTGTAACAAAACTGTCTTCATTATATGCTGTTATCACAAGATGGATAAATGTCTTTATTTCACGATCAATTCTTTGAGCTGTAGTAATACTTCCAGACTGGTCATCTATATGAAACCAACCCAGAGAGTCCCCTGAAGTAATGGCATATTTCACTTGGTCCAAGTCAGAGGTATGCTTGAGTGAAACACGACCAACTTCTCGACCAATACTAGGTTCTTCGTCATTAGAATCTTCTATCACTAAATACTGGTAAACATTAGGCTGACTGAATTCTAGTGAATATTGCTTTTCTTTTTGATCATCAATATAAATCATAACAACTGCGTTTTCTGTTGCTTCCCGATCTCCAGGATTCCTAGCTCCTATTATAAGTTCATATCTTGATTTGACTTGTTCCCTGATAGCTGCATTTGTTTTAATAACACCCGTCAGTTCGTCAATCTCAAACAACTCATCATTACCTTTAACATTGAAAAACGATATTCTTGAGTTTTGACCTTCATCTAAGTCTGAAGCTGTTATTTTCAGAACAGAAGTTCCTATTTCCACGTTTTCTGGAATTAATGAGAAATAGCGTTTAGGGTAAAATACAGGATTATTGTCATTAACGTCCAGAACATTCACTTGAACGTCTACGGTTGATGAAAGTGAAGGTATGCCTTGATCCTGAGCTACTACTTTGATAAAATATACTGCAATTTTCTCTCTATCTAACGTTGACTTAATTGTTAAACGCCCAAATATACTGTCCAGTTCAAATATATTTGGATACTTTTTGTCTGTTTCTTGGTCCAGATAATACAAAATACTTCCATTTGTCCCTAAATCATTATCTGTTGCTGACATTACAGTCACCAAAGAACCAGGAGGAGCATTTTCAGATAAAGAAATATTATTGAATCCTTTAGAAAATACTGGAGCTTCGTCATTCTCATCTAATATCTGTATTTTGAGGTAGGTATGTGCCCAGCGCGGATTAGGACCGCCATCTCGTGCAGATATTTTTAGTTCTAGAAAATCTAGTTCCTCCCGATTCAGTTGCTGCGCTGTAGTTATTAATCCTGTTTGAAAATCCAAATTAAACCAGCGCTTTTCGTTTCCTGATGCTATTTCATAATAAATATTTGAATTGATTCCCGTATCTTCATCAGTAGCTGTGATTCCAGCTACATAAGTGCCAACAGGGACTAGTTCACTTAGTACTGCAGAGTATTCACTTCTCTCAAAAACTGGTTCATGGTCGTTCACATCGTTCACGTGGATAATTAAAAACGTTGTAGAACTCCTAGCAGGTGATCCATTGTCTGTGGCAGTGATTGTCAAGTTATATTTACTGATGTACTCCCGGTCTAAGACACCATTCACTCTAACAATATCAAAACTAGGCGTAGATTCTAACCTGAAATGAGACTGTTCATTACCCCCTTGAATTTCTACGATGGTTTCACCATTTAATCCTTCATCAAAGTCAATTACACTGACTGCTGCCACAACAGACCCGTTTTGAGCATTCTCGTCCACTGTGGCGGAACTTGCCGTAGAGGGAAAAAATCGAAATCGGATAATAGGATCGTGGTCATTAGCATCTAAGAGATTGACAGTGACATAAGCTCTACCATCCTGCCTAGGTGATCCATGGTCCCTAGCAAATACAGTAAAAACACAACTTTTAGAACAATTCTCCACCGTGGGACAGTTCTTTGGACAAGATAATAAATCATAAGTAGAGATCACTCCTGTTTGAGAGTCCACGGCAAATTGCGATTCTGTCTCACTCAAAAAATAAGTAATTTTTGCATTATCGCCAATGTCATTGTCGGTTGCATGAACTTCTAAGACACTTGTTCCTAGAGGAACACTCTCATTCAAGCTTACCGAATAATCACTATGGTCGAATATTGGAGGATTGTCGTTCACGTCGAGAATAGTAATATTTAACTGTAAGAATCCTAGCCTGGGTGGACTCGCTCCATCCTGAGCAGAAATATTGAGCTGATAAAAAGATGTAACCTCTCTATCCAATCTACTAGTGGTCTCTAAGTGCAAGTAGGGCATTTCTCCACTAGGATTGGTTGTCACTACCAATCGAAACACGTTGTTTTCATTCCCTGAGACTATTTTATAATTTGTTGTGATGTCATTAATCCCAGCATCACCATCTGTTGCGGTGTCCAAGATCACTCTGGTACCAATGTTGGCACTCTCAGAAAACGTAACATCAATACTCGGCTCAGGAAATATGGGCGAATTGTCGTTTATGTCTAAGATTATTATTCTGACCTCGATGGGATAAGTTGGCTGGCTACTAAGTATCACTAGGTCAAAACGGTCACTTTTAAGTTTTTCCCTATCTATCTTCTTAGTCGTAGTAATGGTTCCTGTGGTTCCGTTTAAATGAAACTCTTCTGGAATATCATTGAAACGATAAGTGAAATTTCGCTTTATAGGAATAGTCCCAATAACAGTACCTGCGGCTTTTCCCTCCTCTATTTCAAACTGAACCCTTGTATCTACTTCTCTCGACCTCATGGCGACTCCAGTTACTTGTACACCAGAACCTTGGGCCTGGGCAAACCTGACTATTATGGACAACAAAAACCCAACCATCATATAGAATTTGAAACAAACCGACCATGATCTCCATTTGCTTGGTAAGCGTGACACAAAACAACCATAAACAAAATATTGCATTTCTGACAATATACACATATTTTCCCTAATTTCTGCTCCCAACATCTTACCCTCTCTATTCAAATTCATATTTCTTTGCCTTATGGAAACGCCATCGTCATTTAACATTCTGATTTCAATGTTGTTGCTACATCTGTAACACTTCATCCCGAATGAAATACATTGCATGTAAATGTGTCATAATATTGGTATCTAACAAAATACGGCATACTCTATTCATATTACTTAGGGAGTTTTATAACTTTCATGGTATAAATGTAGTAAAACAAGTATAGAAACAGTTGGTTAAGATGGTGTCATTTGGTAAACTTCGGAACGAAGTCTTAGAAACATCTTTCACTGTGTAACTCAACACATATTAGCTTCTAGTAGCGACTCACAAATACCTGGTGAACAGCTATAACGGCCGGAGGCACGGGTTCAAGAAACACAACGTAGTCTTGACAGCGACGGCAGCTAGACTGGATGGATGAAACCTGCTCTCCAAGTTGCTTCACCGGTGGCTGGAACTCGATACTAAATAACACTTTCCACACTTCTGAAACACACTAATACGGGTAGTTTGTATATATATAAAAAAAGTGACAGAGCGATGAGATCAGACAATTATAATATCGTTTTAGTCGCTTCTTCTCATCAGACACACTCAATATAAAACGCGCGGAATATTATACATCGGTTGCCTGTCCTACCGTGATTCTGGAATAACAGGGCTAACATGTCAGTAGGGGCCAGGGCCACATTCCAAGGAGGTGGGCGGAGCACTGACGTCGTCCAGCCAGCAGCCTATGGAAGGAGTCGGAATACAGAACCCTGCGGTCACTAGCGGGGTCGGATGGACTTTTTTTCTTACGAGTACGTGTTGCTAAAATGTATTTAGCTGGACAGAAGATTGAAGAAACTCTTGTTTGACCATTGTATAATTTGTTTTCTCCTCTTTCTGTTACGTGTTTAAAAAAATCCGTCTGACATTGGCAATAGACGTGTTGGGGCTGTCCCATTCGCTAGATCACGTGGCATTTGACACAGCAACAACAAAGAACCAATGTATGATAAAATCATACTTGTTGTTACTATAAGCTAAGACTAACTGGAAGATTAACGACGATACATCAAAGTATCCCTCAGCAGCAACAACAAAGACGCACCCTTAACAACACAGTTTGTTTGAAACATAATAAATTTAATGATAGTTCAGACTAAGTTTTCTATTAACATAATATATTTTTTATTGTTAGACAAAAAATAAGAAACCCTATAATCCGAGCGCTTTCGAAAGGTAGACATTTCTTCATCAAGGGAAATTGATCTTTACATGTGTTAAAAACCTACTGTTATATGTCTTAAGCATAAATAAACTGTAATAGATATAATGGTCTTTCAAATATATATATACATGTGTGTGTTTTTGTGTATCGTTTCCATTTCCAGCTACAATATGCAGTGACCTCACTGGTATTTAAGAAGGATCAGCATTTTTTTTCATGTATACTGACAGTAAAATTATTCTTATTTAGTTTGCGATCATATTCGAAAGCACTTCCTTTTAAGCCTATAATATGTCATAAAGATGACAACTTTTCTTAATATTGATAAAAATTACTTTATTGAGTTGTGGCCACAAAAAATCCTGGGACGTGAATATTTAAACAATTTTTTAGCGAAAGCTTATCATTTTGCTTTAGACTAATCTTTAGTCGTTCTATCAGTATTTCTCTTGCGATGCAATAGTTTTTTCTGAGAAAATAAAAACGGGAAGATAGCTAAGTAACAGCCGTGAGATACGCAATAGTTTTGCATTCTTGCTGTTAACTTAACTTTATTGTTTTTAATGAGAAACCTCACTACAACCTTCTGTTGAATAATTGTTATATTTAAAGTATTACATGACAACAAACATGGTAAAATAAAACTATAAATTTGGTGCAAAATACTTGACAAATTTAAAAAGCAATTTCTCGGCGATGTAAAGTAATAACAACATGTTTGTAAACGGTCAATGATGCGTTTGCATAATGTCAATAGGTAAAAAATGTATGCAGTTTTTGATGTGAAGAATCTCAAAGTTACACATGACACTTTATACGTTAAACTTGGCATTACCGTTTCATCTTGAGCTTACTTATAATATAAATTTGTATGTAAAAAAATGTATTAAAAAAGGTTTTATTATTTCTTAACGAAACATACAAGATACTTTTCGTATTAAAAACAGGATAACCACGGTGAAACAAAGCAACGTGTTTAACCTTCGAACGTTTCGGATTTTACACATTCTATCATCAGTGAACTAAAGTGTTTTCATAGAACATACATATGTAGTATATATATATATACACACACACACACGTATATATATATATATACACACACACTATATATATATATATACACACACATATGTATATATACATCAGACACACACATATATATATATGATATATATATACATACACACATATATATATGTATATATATATACATCAGACACACACACATATATATATACATACACACACATATATACATACATACACACATATATATATATACATACACACATATATATATGTATATATATATACATCAGACACACACACATATATATATACATACACACACATATATACATACATACACACATATATATATATACATACATACATGTATATGTGTATATGTATATATATGTAAACAACAAATAGTACAAGTTCTAATATTGAGAAGAAAATGTATACAAAATATACAAAGGGAAAGAAATAAGTGAATTTTACAAAGGTTAAGAATATAATTTATTAAATAACTATATCAAAAGAAAGAGAGCTAAAAGGAACTGAGGTTATTATTTCGACTTGGATGTTTGTCTGAGTTACGTAGACTTTCTTTGATCAGAATGATTTTGAAATTATCAATATATAAAGGGTGTTTGTGTGCTTTAAGATTATGTTGTGGTTCGTGATGTAAAACAAACAAATTCGAATCAGTATGAAGTATCATAATATATCATTACTATCATTGCTGTAAATTAATTCGTTTGATTTTACAGATGCTCTGTATAACATCAAGTACCTAATATCATGGAATTTGTTTTATTTTTAGCTATGTTTTGTCGAACTGTATTTACTGCTACTAAATAAAGACTTTTCTTGTCACACGTATCTTCAAACAAACATTTATTGTTCAATGACCGCTGATCTACCAGCATAACAAACATGTTGTGTCAGAAATATAACAATCTTTCATTCATGACATAATCTTAGCTTCAGTACACTACTTTAAGTTACTGTGTAATTATTAACTGAAAGGTCAAACCCTGCAATGGCGGTTCCAGGATCCTAGAAAGGGGTGTGGATCAAAATAGCTGAGTATGGAAGTACGATCACGAAAACTAAAAAGATAATATCCTTTCAAAATGCTGATTCCCGTTTCTTGTGAGGTGAAACTGAAAAGGGATGAATATCTTTTTTTTTCAATAAAAACTAATTATATATTCCAGTCAAAATCTGATAACAAGTAAGTCTAACTGCTAAGCCAAAAGTTTAAAAGGAATTGGAAAAGTTATCGTACAGAAAAGTAGCCGATGAAGATAGATTTTGATTACAAGTTTGCGGTATTTTTCATACCTAATTGTTACGTATGAAAATACATGTTTTTCTTTGTTGAGATATCTTATGTAGAAAAAGATAGTTTGTCAGTATATCAGGGTAAACTTAAATACATAAGAATGGGGTATTTATAAAGATATGAGAAACTTTGTCATTGCGTCTAGTGCTATCTATATAATTGGAGTGAATCTGTCTGGGACTGTGTAATAGTATTAGTGTTGAGAAATAGTAGCAAGTTAGCAGTTTAGAAAATATACTATTACTATATGCTAATTCAAAAAAGAGAGAAGAATTTAACTTTTAGAAAAAAGCAGCAGTAAAATTTATTACAAGTAATAAACAAACGTTTAGGTATGAAAACTGAATTAATCTTCCGGCTAACAAATGAAAGTAAAACCAAAATACTTTTGATATGAGATAGGAACTGATATTTGACTAATATTCTTTATAAGCAAACAAAACGTAGAATCGATATTATGTAACGAATACTATCATTATAAACTGTTTAGGGTATTTATAATAACAAACTTATTAAGTAAAATTATATCGTGTTAAACTAATTTATGCCGTATACATAGTTTTCATTTATTTTACTGATGTTCATCGTAAAAGTTCAGTGTTCTTAGGTAAAAGGTTTACAAATTTGTTTGTTTGTTTTTGATTATGC